GTCCCTGTCCCTGTCCCTGTCCCTGTCCCTGTGTGGGCTGTGCAGGAGGATGTTAAGGGCTCTTCCCACCCTCCAGCTCAGAGCCCTTTGCCCCTCCCCAGTTCCCTCCAGTAACATTTTTCCGTGGGGGCTCCAGTCCCCAGGAGCCTTCCCGTGCAGAGCAAGGTGGAGCCGCCCAGCCTGGACCCTGCGGAGGAGCCGCTGCTCTGGGAAGGGCTCACCCTCAACAAGTGCATCCTGGTGGCCTCCGTCGTCGCCTTGCTCAGCGTCACCTTCCAGGTGCTCCAAGGTGAGTGGGAGCCGGACGGGGCGGGAAGGGGTGGCCAGACCGTGCTGCCACCTCCTGGCTCCTGTCCCCTGGTCTCTTCCAGCGCCGTGCTCCAAGGAGGGGCTCGCCCGCGGCCGGCAGGAGCCTCCGCCCGCTCCCGTTCCCGGTGGGTCCCTCCCCGCTCCCCCGGACCCAGCCTGAGACAGGGCCACGTCTCAGGCCCTGGGAGCCCCTGTCTGGGGCATCCCACCCAAACATCTCATCATCCTCAGCTGACTGTGGCCTGTCCCTCTCCCCTCCCAGAGGTCGTGAGCCCCAAGGCGGAGGAGATCCCGGAGGTGGTGACTGCCCAGCCTGCGCCGCCACCGGACAGCGGCGCGGTGGAGGATGATGATGATGACGGTGACGATTACGATGACAGCGAAGCTGACAGCAACCTGGTACGGGTCAGGGTGGCACCTCCCGGGGCAGGGAGCATCTCGTCCCCCGGGGGAAGGGGTGGAGAGGGGTCCCGGTCACCTGGGCTGCATCAACAGTTTCTGGTCCCCTCTGTCCCCACAGGCAGAACCCTGGATCTTCAAGAAGTGGTTTGGCCGCACAACACCAGAGGATGAGGAAAAGGATGGGGACAAGGGTGAGGACAAGGATGAGGATGAAGACAAGGATGAAGAACCTGCAGATGTCCCCGAGGTGCCAATAGCTGTGATGGAGGGGAAGAAGAGCCAGGAAAAGAAGGTGGAGAAGGAGGAGGAGGAAGAAACAGAGGAGAAGGAGGAAGAAAAAGAGGGGAATGAGGAGGAGGAAGAGGAGGAGGAGAAGGAGGAGGAGGAGGAGGAGGAAAAGGAGAAGAAGAAGAAGGAGGAGAAGAAGGAGAAAGCCCGGGAAGGCCGTGCTGTCCATACGGAGCGGAGCAGCCGGAGGGAGGCACGAGCCAAGGACAGGACACCGGGGGACAAACCCGGCAGAGCCCCCAGGACCCCCAGGGAACCGGAGCAGCAGCCCCAGAAAAAGCGGGACCGGGAGAGGAAGGAGAGGAAGGAGAGACGGCGGGAGCGGGATGAGGCCAGGAGGGAGGGGTGGAAGGGCCGTCCCGGCAGGGCTGAGGGCGGCCGGGAGAGCCCGAGGCGGGACTGGAAGCAGCAGAAGGGCAGGAAGCCCTGGGAGCTGGCGCCGGGCAGGGACGGCAGGGCCAGGGAGGGCAAGAGGCGCGACTGAGGCCGGGGCGGGCGCGGGGCTCGGTGTCGCTGGATCCAGGGGAATCCAATCCCAGCACTGCTCCCAGCAAGGGATCCCCGCCTGCCCTCCAGAGACACCCCCGGGCTCGGGCAGCCCCCCCAGCAGCCCCGAGCAGCAGCAGAGCAGCCCAGGAGCCTCCCCGGGGGCTTTGGGCCTCCTGGATCAAAGGCGACCTGAAAGGACTCATGGAAGGAGCTTCTTTGAGCCTCGTTACTTCCCCATTCCCACCCAAAATCCCCCCGCAGTTCATCTCCGCTCGTGGCTCCGGGGCACTGCGGAGACCCCAGAGAACAGAGTTGTGTCCAGACTGTGCAGCTCTTGGGTTAATGGTTTTATTGAAAGCAAATCAAGAGAGAAGACTATTCTGGGTTATGGAACCAGGCTGCAGCCGTCCTCAGAGGGACATCAGGGACAGATCCTCTGAGCGAGCCCAGAGCCATCGCTGCAGGGTGGCCCAGAACGAGCCGGTGACAGAGCAGGGCTGGAGCCCCTGACCCAGGGATCCCTGCGGGCCTCGCCTTCTCCGAGTCGCTTTTAGGAAGGAAACACAAGAGCAATATCACACAGCCAGAGACGTTCACAGCCCCGACCCATGGCAGGTTTCACTATTTGCTAAAACAACAGTGGTTAAAATAAACTATTTTCATTTTTAATAAGGTATTTAACTGGATGTTTAAAAAAAAAATAGGAAAAAAAAGAGAAAGGAAAACGAGAAAAGCCCTTGTCATGTGCCCTGGTTATGTGTTTTGTCCCTGGTTGTGTGTGTGTGTTTTCTGTGCCCCCCAAACCCGAGGGGCTCAGGGCTAATCCTGCAGGGCTGTGAGATGGGACTGGGGGTACCACCCTCCAGCCGCGCCTCCCCGTGGGGACACTGCAAAACCCGAGGAGGAGCAGCCAGGACAAGCCCAGGAGCTGCTTCCCAAGGGTTTGGATCCCCGGCCGAGGGCTGGGCTCGGCTGGAAGATGATCTGGGGCAGGAGGGACGCGGAGCAGGTGCTCTGGCAGCCGTTTGCTCCCGCTCCCATTAATGGTGCGAGCAGCCCGGGAGGTGGAACGGGATCGCTCCCTCCCTCCTCCCCTCGCTCCTGCCGCGGGGTCAGCCCGGGGTGACGCAGATGTGACCTGGCCGGGAGCCCCAGGACACGGCCGGCGGCTCCTCAGGGCCCGGCTCACACAGAGACGTGTCCCCAAGGCAAGGCTGGTCTCTGCGAGGGGATTTGGCCCCTCTTGCTCTGCTGTCACAGCTGGAGCCGTGGGGCCAGAGGGGTCTCGTGGTGGGCCGTGGGCTGGGGAATGGCCAGAGGATGCTGCAGGGCTTGGAGGAATCAGCACCTGCCCTTCCCAGCCACTGCAGGAGCAGAGAGTGAGGGAGAAATGAATGCTTGGATCGGCCAAGCTTTGCCGTGCCCGTGCCCAGCCCGAACCGGGGGCAGAGCCCGCGGGCACCTCGGGCATCCTCAGCAGCCGGAGCGGGGACGGCCCCAGTGGAGCACGGAGCAGCCCCAGGGACAGGCGTGGATGAACCCAGAACCAGAGCGACGCTAAGGAGCCAAACCGTGGGGAAAGGACACGCGGGAGCTCCCGTCTCGGCCTGAAGCACCAGATCCCGAGCCGGGAGGGCAAACCGGGAGAGGGGCCGGGGTGCGGCGAGCGGGGAGGCCGGCGGGAGCCTCACCGGCAGCCGCACTCCTCCGCCACCATGTTGGGGAACTTGCGGATCTCCAGCCCGTCCGAGGAGAGGCTGATGATGAGCTGGTCCGAGTAGCGCACGGGCACGCAGCAGGGAGCCCTGCGCAGCGGCGAGCCCCGCTCCTGCATGCCCAGCAGCAGCACCGTGTGCGAGAAGTAGCT